TAGTTGAGGACATATAGTTCCGCTGACTTCGCAGCTTTGCACTCCCGTCCCGTTATATTGTCAAGTTTCGCATGCGACTATCGCTCCCGATATATATCGCGCTTATACCCTCTCCGAGAGACGGGAGGTTTTTTCTTTATTTCACAACTCGACGCACCATCAAGAACTGCAACTTTCGCGCGACTATAGCATCGCGAGAACGTGACTCTCGTCGTCACAAAATCAACTGGTCTATCTCTCTCGGGGAACAAAGAAAATAGTTTATAAGAGAGAAAAAACATCGAATCTTGCGAAACATTTCTGATATAAAGGGAAATTTCGATCGAAAGGTTTACCGATTTTGCGAGTCGCGTTATAATATTGTGAATTATAAGTGTGTTTGGCCTTGGTGAACTCCGTCTTGACGTTTATTTTGATTAATACACGCGATTAATGAAGATAGTACAGTGTTCGAAACGTTTCGCATTTCTAGAATGTTTCATTTGTGACTGCTGAATTAATAATAATAATAATCTGTACAATTGTGATCGATCGATGAGTTGATAATAACTTTGCAAATTACCGTCCGCGTTTTCGCTCTTGTCTGTACATATATATATATTGACGGATTTGACAAAACCGATCGGTACGTGGAAAATTACATTTAAGATGTAAAACGAGACAAAAACAGCTCGCGATCAAAGATCAAAATAGACGTCAAGACGATTTCTTGCGATTGTTTCTAACCGGATGTAAAATAAAATTTGCGTCCACATATACGCGAGACTTCTCTCTCTCCCGCGAGGTTGTGTGCGCGGCTTCGCGCCTCGGTATCGAGAGATGATTCACGAGAGAGATGCACCGTGAAATGCAAATGCGACTTAGCAGAAAAACACTGACATTTTGCTCGAGAAGTTCAATGCTTACGATCGCGTGTTGCAGAATCACGTATATACCGAATATGGTATATATGTGTATACACGAGAGGCGTGTATATGCCGGGCCTGTGACTCGATTACTTTGGCGCACTTGTCGTGGGAATTCGATATGGAAAGCGGTAAGGTCTTGGCGTGTGGTTGCCGCACGAGATATGCCGCGCGCACACACACAGAAAATCGGAAGGGGTTGTGTGGGCGTGAAGGTTGATTCATGCTGGTACGACGATATAGCTTCTCCCTTTGTGTGATTGCACCCCCGATATACGTACGTGTATGTAAAGATAACGGCGCAGCTCTGGTGCACACCCGAATTCACTCGCGAATTTTAGAGAGAGAGTCGTGTTTGCCGCTATTTTCTTATCAAGTTGAAAGAAGCGCTAAATACGGACTTGTTTCCGAGAAAAAAGTACACAAACAAATTCGATATCTGGTTATAAACAATTTGTGTAAAATATATAATTATTTTATATATAACATATAGGAATGTAATATAAAAATTAAATATATATATGTAACGTGTAATAAATATGTAAATAATATCTGTATATATTTTATATGTAATTGAGGCAATTTCTCTCTACACATGACTCTGAAAAATGTAACCAGATATGAAAATTGTTCATTTATGAAGGACCTTTTCTCGGGACACATACATTTTATGTTACATTTTTACGCGGCCATATCTTCCGCGCGAACATCCCTCGAGCATCGTTCGTCAAGAAAAACATCCGGTAAACAAGCATTTTACTCGATTCGATAAACATTACACAGCAAATTTGTTTTATTCGTTTTTTTAATTTTTTATTTTTTTATTATCACGTTTCTCAACGATTTTGATGCGCTAATAATATCGTATAATATATACATGTATAATATACGTGTTCTCCTTTTTAAAGTTTCCACGTGAAGTTCGTGTCGGGACAGAGTTTGGCAACGGAGCGCACCGCTTCGGTTCAAGCAATTTGCAAACGTAAATAGCACGCAAAAGTCTCTTAAATCATTAGACGGAATGGTCGAAGGTTAGCTCGTCGTCGGTGCGCGAGAGAGGCGGAAATTGAGAGGCAATTCGGCGACGACAATCCGAGTATTTCGCAAAAACCGCAATCCGGTAAGCGCAATCGATTACGAGCAATTCTTTAAAATTTGCCACGTCTTTCATAAACTAATTTTCAAACTGGTTTGCGTAACAGAATTTCAGTTCGAGATTTCCACCCTCGCGCGCAATGACTCGATCAATTCGCGTCAATATTTCATGAAACAGTTCTGTACAAAATAGACTCACTTTTAACCTTTGTCGCGTGTTTAAACGAGAAATAACAAAAACCGAAAGAACAATGTTGCCAAATCGCTTTGTTTTTATCGTATCGAAATTTTCTTCTGTTTCTTTTCCTCAAATCGTCCTGTGTTCACCCCAAATCCACCCTAAGACGAGCGCTGATGCGTATTCATCGATTCGGTTTTTAGATAAAAAACGAACATGCGAGGTTGACGCTCTGTAACGGTGAAAAGTGAGAAAAAAAAAAAAAAAAAAACAAGAACAAAAGGTGTCGAAATTAAATTTGCGTTTGATTAATTGGGTCGGTAAAAGGAAAATGCGCCGGCTTCCTCTTTATCCGAAACGCCGAATCTCTTTGTCGCTGTTACGTCCGGTAATGATTCAAATTGAATTCCACGTGGCGGCTGATCTGGGTTATCTCCGTGACAATTATATACGGTTGCGCGGACGTCCGCAACGACCTGGATTGCGGTCGAATTCGAAATAATAATAATTTCGCGATACGGCAGACAGAAAAACAAACAAGCAGAATTTTACTCGATTCGAAGTAAAACGCGCGACGTAATTGTTAATAAAAAAAACTATTAAAAAAAAAGAGTAACGTGACACCTGGGGTGCGTTTCGAGAACATCATTCGCGTCACACGAGTGTCATTTTATCTATGTTTTATATCTAATGAGTGATAAAGATAGAATGACGCTCGTGTGCACACGAGTGCTGTTCTCGAACGCAGCCCTGGTCGTATCTCGAGGTAACAATTTCGGGAATTTTCGGTAAATAGAAAACGTACAAACAATAGAAGCAAAATGATACAAATCGTAAAAAATCATAAGAGAAAAACAACGTGACACCTCGAAAAAAAACAAACAATTTCGCGATACACATATGTATATTTGATAGATGGGAAAAATAAACAAGAGAAAATTGGATTTGGTTTGAAATAAGAGACAAATCGAAAAATTACAACACAACAAGGCAAGCATGGGAAGAAGAAGATGCGCGAAAACAGCACGGTTCAGGTCGATAATATTTACGATACCGCGATTTACCGTAAACCTCTCTGTGTGTCATTGCTAACGAAGCTAATGAGTCGGTTACGAGTTGATTTAAATAACCGTATGTCACACGGCACCTATTCGGCTGACAGGCGTCGTGCCGTTGCGTGTCGTGCAATTTATTACCCGCATGCGTACGACGACAACGACGACATATGATATTCGTGAAGTCGACGTGTGTATTGTTTCCAATTTATTGGTGTTAATTGACGATTGCGTGATCTCGCGGGAGGGGGGAGGGGGAAAGAAAGAGATTTCGATGAATGAATGGAAACGAGAGAGGATATTCTTCGCGTACACGACAATCCTAAAATCGTTTCCACGTGCGCTCGTACGTGGAAATGTGCCAACGATTATGCATCGTTTGACCGACACGTTTATTATGCGTGAATTTTGTCGGATATGAGTGACAATGTGTAAGCGCGCGCCGTAACGGGGCCAGATAGTAATTCAGTTCTAAACTAAATAAAATACCGTAAACCACCGGCTCGCCGAGACAGCAAAAATATAAATACAATTTGTCCGTACGGGCGTTACGTCTGTCGTTACTCTGTTTTTTTAATTTATTTTTTTACTTGATTTTTTTTGTGTGTTTTCCGCCACACAAGTCAAGATCAAAAACTATTTTTTCTCCACGTAATACATTTTACAAAAATATCTAAGTAAAATAACAAAAATAATTTCGAGCATGTGCTGAATGAAAAATTTGTTGTTTATATTTTTTGTTGTTTATATTTTGCGCGCGACGGAGCTGAGACAATGTTGAAAAAGGAGGATCTTAATCTGCGGTTATTCGTGAGATAATTTGTAACACGCCCCCACGCGCGATATTTCCACGACAGCTATTTCGTTCATTGACAGCTCGTGGAAACACACACACACACACACACACAGATAATAAGTTTTCAGTCGTACGAGGGCGTGATAATAATCGACGTACACAATCACGCGCATTAATCGCTATAATAAATGCGCGATGTGATCACACGTCACCTCCGCGCGCAGCAATAAATAATCTCTCACCGACAGGTGTCAATTTTCGTTACAAAGTGTTCGTTACGCTTTTGCGTTCGCGAAATCGTCACGGACGATTGAGTTTTTCTTCTTTTTTTTTTTTTGTTTGCGCGTGGAACACAATTGTCAGACGATGATAAGGTGTGTTTACGCTCGATTAATTTTATCTTCATTTGCTCGCGAAATCTCTCATTACACAGAGAGCTTATTATCGAGAGTTTAATGTATGTCGGTGCACGACTTCTTATCGATTTTGCTCGGGAGAGAGGAGATAGTCGCGGGAACGATTTGAATATCTGTCTGTTCTAGTTTCTCTCTTTGTTGGAAACGAAACTTTGGCTCGAAATTCAGTCAAATTTACGACGTTACGATTAGAAATCGAACCTGCCTATCGCGTGTGTACGCCCGCACGTTTGCCGCGATGACGCCAAAGTCAACAATTTAAAGCACTTTCGACGACACTTGGAGCGACATTTGCGGCTCGCTCATCGTCGATTGTGCCCGCGTGCGTGATTGATGTCGCCGTTAGTGGGCGTCGGAGAGGAAAAATAATAATGAGATAAAAAGAGCGGTGTGAATTCATTTTGTTTGCGAATGTGACGGAATGTTCGGCGGAAATTTGCGGCGTGTTCGATTATCGGGAGTGTCCAATCAAGAGTTCGAGAGAGAGAGAACGATAAGCTCGGTAATATTGTAATAAAAACAATATTAGCTTATAACACGAGTTAATATTGTTTTTATATTAATAATCGATCATAAGTGAAAAAACAACAGCGTTAATAAAACAACAACAGCGCAATTTTATACGGAGCGAGAAGGTTGTTAGAAATCGAGCCTGCGGCACACGACGCAAATATCACATTTACCAGAAAAAATGTTTAAATATTGTGCGCGCGGAAATTAATCTCGTGTGTATATTTTCTTTTCGTTGTTAATTTCGTGACGGTCGATCGATCGTGTTACAAATTTGTCCATCGGGGATTTTCTCTCGCGATTTTCCTTGTTTTCCTTGAAAAAAAAAAAAAAAAAAAACATAATCAAGGAGAACGGAGAAAGACCTCCGTGAAATAACTCACCCGTTTGATCGCTCAATCTTCCTTAAAGAACGGAACGGATGTTAATTCGAGCCGAACTAACGAGAACATCACGTTTCATTAGATGTTAAAGTCAAAGACTGTCATTGTGTGATTGGTGAAAAAAAAAAAAAAAATACAACTACTCTCAATGTCGAGCTGCGCCCAGGAACGACGTAAATTTTTATTTTTACGATATGCCTTTTTTTACGGTCTATAAATGTGCCGTTACCACACACACACACACGATCGCAGTTTACAATCTAAATTACATATTGATTATCCTTCCCGCTAATTTCCCGCATGTAAAAATAACCCGAACGACGCCAAATGCGGACGAAGAATGAAATAGCATCGTGTTCGAATCCGATTAACGAAACATAGAAACTTCCCAAACCGCGGCTCGAAAGCGGCTTGAATAATAAAGATAAAAATAAAACGTTTTTATTGCCAATGTGTATTTCGCGAATTTGTACAAATGTGGTCGCCAATAAAACCAAGTATGTGGCGGGGTTTTATTGGAGATCGGATAAATATTACATCATGTGATAATTTTGAACATTTTTTTGCTTCAATTTAAAGCACAATTGTATAATTAGCGGATCATGTCTGACCGGAAATTCATCTCAATTTCGTTGTTTGTTTGTGTGTGTGTGTGTGTGTGCGCACACGCGGTAATGCACGAAGTGACGGAGCCAGAAGCTAGTGGTACATTATGAATCAGCCATTTGCCTCTTGTCATTTATTTTCAAAACGACATCAATCCATTTGAGCGTCAAATAGCACAATGGCGTTTCTTCTGCTCGCGCCGCAAAAAATATCAGCGCGAATTCGCTTCGGCAACTCTCTTGGAACTTTTTCAAGCGTTACCTAAACTAGTGGAACGACTGTTCTTTTTTTTTTTTGTTGTAAATGAAAAAAACATAGATGTGATCAATTTCGTGTCACTGTTTATTTTCGCAATAGAAAAAGTTCACGTAAACAAAATTTATAAACTTTGTCGTTATTGTTCGTGTTTTCGACCTCAAGAAGATTATAAAACGGGAACGTAAAAAGATACGCTACATATAATTAGCAAGTAGCGATAAGATAGCGAGAACATTAATAGTTGAATTGCTGAAATACTTCGTGGGGGGTTTTGCTTAAAGTGCAATTTTATTTCGAGAGAACAGTGTCGCGAATACGCACACCAATCGCGCGCGCGCGCGCGCGCAAACGTATACAAATAAAGTATGTATATAAAAAAATGTGTATATAAATATTTGCCTACACGGCGAGTGATAAGATAGTGATGTAATAGGCAAGGCGACCTACCAATGGACAGTAATACTCGAACGGTCCGACAGTGCGCACAGGTTTGCGGTAACGTTAGCGTGGATTTAACACCAGCGTGCGAAAGAAAAATACAAGTGACGCCGCAAAGATTCGGATTAACGTGAGACGTGCGCAAAAAAAAAAACAGTAATATTTTACACAACATTTTTACATGAATTTTGTCTCGGAGAGGAGACACGCTATTAAAAAAAAAACAAACAAACAAACAAACAAATTGCCGCTTAATCGCGAATAACAAATTGTTCGCATAAAAAATTCACATTTTTCCCCACGTAAATTACACTGGAGAAAATTATTTACGCAAATGATGCGCGGCGCGATGTCAATTGCAATATATCGATCGACGGTCGCGGTTTTCCGGGATCTGTAAAGTGCGACATTGATTTTTAAAGAAATGAAAAAAAAAAAAGAAAAAAAAACGTGAAGCGTAATTTCGATGAAAACGCGACTTTAACGCGTTCGAAGTCTCACCGGAACGGAGTGCAAAAAAACCATGTGTTATTTACGTTTTCAATTTGTGCGCCCGCGTTCTCTTGAGAATCGTCGAACGCGATCCTATCGCGCGCAGCAGGCACGTATGTGTGTGTGTATGTGTGTACGCGCCGTTTTCTTTTTATCAATAAAATATCAGCAAAACGTGACAGCGTTGACCGTAAACTTATTACGTGAGTAATAAATATATAGATTTCATCGAGCTTTTTTGCCGGCTGTTCTTATCTCGATGCAAAGACCGTTTTTCACTCTCGTTCCAAAGTAAACTTTTCGTCAGCACCGAGTGTTTTTTTTCAGGAGATGTCGCGTGGTGCCTCTCGATGAAGTTTGTTCAGAAATTCAAATACACAACTAAATCGATTTAATTAATTAATATTCTCTTTGAAAAATAAAACACGATCGTTTAAATAACAGGATTGCGAAACGAAACGCTTGAAGCGATGTGATGAACTCGCGAACTGCTGCTTGTGAAGCTGTGTGTTAGCTGCACGGAAATAAAATTTAACGTGTTCGCGGCAGTGCCATGTAAATACTGTATTAGCGTAATCACAAGTTTTCACGTGTGTGTGCACGCGCGCGCCGCGGATGATACATGTATAATCTCTATCATCACGTGCTCGCGCGCTGTTATTCTCCGACGGAACGTGAACTTTATCGCGGTTGAGAGATACAAAGAGTCGAGTAAGGCGTGTGTTGCAATCACGCGGCGAACCACTACCTATTCGCGATGATTCCGGCGGAATGATTAGGTTTCGAGATCGCGAGCTCGAACGAACGGGTGGACTGCTCCTCGCGAGCGAGGAAGGTAGTCCTTGACGGGAAAGCCGCCGAGAGTCGCGCGGAACGATGTCTTCCTTGAAATGAGTACGTATGTCTCCGCGACCGTGATGTCAGCTCGTTGTTTTCGACGTGTTCACGAGACGCAGAACTCGAATGATAATTTGTCGATAAACGTATTTAACGCGCCGACCGAACTCACGCAAGAGGGAAAATGTCCTCGTAAATTATTGGGACGAACCGGTTGCGGAAACGCGATACGGCTGTGGAGATTAAATTGAATCGTTTGAGCCGAGGGTTCGCGCAATTTAAAAGACCGGAAATAAACGAAAGCGGAGGAGAAAAGAGGTTTTACGCGAATCGAAAAGAGAACGAAGAGAGATTTACGCAAAAAAAAAAAAAAAGAGATTTTTGTGCGGATTACGTTAGATAAGATGTGAACGTCCCGAACACGTACCACTTGCCGGACGTTTGTTAAAGAAATAATTATAACAAATATATTTTTTGTATTATACAGGTTTTATATCATATATGTGTGTGTAAAAAGTTAAGAGCAAACAATATTTAAAAACAAATCTCGAAAACTACAATGAGAGAATTGTTGTGTTTAATATTTACATGTCATCTAACAATTATTTCCTTAACAAATATCCGGTCATGTCCGGAACGTGTTCGATCAGAGAGACTGTCCGAAGGAACTAGTCACTTTATTATCACAAGTCATAGATACGCGATACGCGAAGAACGTGAACGGCAAATAAAACGTTTTTTGTTCGAAAAATGAAGACAATTATTTCCAAAAAAAAAAATCCTCACAAGGAGTCGAGTGATTCGCAAACGTCGCGTGTGCGCTTTGATGTAAATAAGTATGTGCTTTGTACAATGCGCATGCCGACCCGAAGAACATCGGGTTGCGCGCACGAATACCGGGCCAACAACGTATGTGGATATAACATCATGCGCGTTGCCTATTCAGAGATGCAAATCGATGGTCGCATGTCGCATCGATTATATGAGGGACATGCAACGAATACATACATATACAGTCGAATGATTCCTCGACGATGTAATTAATCTAATGACGTCGAGTATAGAAATATCCTCGATATATTGCGAGCACGAACGCTCGAGCGAAGCTATTCTTCTAAGATCGCAAGAACATTTTGCGGGTGACTCTCTCGCGGGTAATTTTGCGAATTTACACGTTCTCTTTGTCAGTTTTTTTTTTTTTTTTTTTTTCTATTATTATTAAACAATTCATAAAAATGTTAGAAAATTACAAACCCGCGGTTAGATAAGGCGCAACATGTGTTTCCAGCGCGTGTTTTCTCGCGATAATTGTTTCCAGTTTATGTTGCCAACAATATTGCGCCTATCTAAAAGAACATCTGACATTTTACGTCCCTTTTAAACTCGCGTGAATTAATGGAAGTAAACCAAATGGTCTCTTCGTAAAAAAAAAAAAAAAAGATTAAAACAGCGAACAAATAGTGAGGGTAGTTTTGCTCTCACTTCGGATAATTTAAGTATGACTTCACGAGTGATTTATCTAGCAAACGATTATTCAGCAAACAGGAACTTTAACAAGGTTAATGCAGTCATATCAAATTGTTATCACGTTCCCGGTCCTTATCGGAGTGACCGCGTAGCGCGTGTTTTACTCAATGTACGCTTTCACGATTTTTCCGGTTTACACTCGCGCTGATTCCTTCCGATCGACCACATTTTGAAACAAACGTCTCACACGAAAAGAAGTAAATGGTATCCGCCCGTAGTTCGTATTCTTTTTTTTTTTTTGTTTTCGTTCTCTTCACAACACAACACACATCTGCAATGATCGATCTTCTCATTCTTTTAACTTTTAACGAACACTTGCGTTGTAGCGCGGCCGAATGTCGTGGAGCAAAGTGTCGCATGGCTAGATAAATCGTGGGGAGTGTGGCGCCCGACAGCGCGGGAGAAACCGGGGCGGCATGGCGCGTTTCTCCCTGAAGAGATATTTCTTTTACGTCCTATGTCTAACGGGCACGTTGCTCGTCTTGCTGAATCTACTCCAGGACGAGATATGGCACAGCATGCGACCGCATCCCAACCAGCCGCAGCAATCGGTTCGAGCTACCGGCGACGGACCGGCAAAGGTACGTTTTTTCTCCCTCTCTATTCAGCTTTTTGATTTATTAATCGATGCGAGTTTGTTAATTCGATCCGATCGATTTCAGCGAGAGAGATATATGGATTGGATGTTGAAGCACAACCGCGCCGCGTAATAACGCGCGTACAAGTTCGTTCGTGTTGTATCTACAGTATTACCTTTACAGCTATTTCTGCTGGCTGTAATTGTAACGTCGGATCGATATTTGCTTTAGAAAAGCGATGATGAGAAGCGAGAGAGCCGAAACGAAAACATTTAACTTTATTCCGAACAATTTCAAGTGATATCTTTCGACACACATATGGTATCGATAAGAGAAAACTTATCTTATTTAATTTTCATTTATACGACCGCTAAGTCGTTAAGTAGCGGACATCTGTTTTTTAAAGATTAATTATCTCGCGCGCTAAATTTCGCAGACACGCCATCGCGTATTCCTCTCGACGCGGAAGGAAGAGAAGAAAGTGGGCGTGATCGTTTTAGCGATGTGTGTGTGTGTGTGTGTGTGTGTGTGTGTGTGAGAGAGTGAGGTTCTAAAAATATAAAATCGTGATCTAAAATGAGATTAAAATCCCGAATTTCGCTCGCAGATGAAACCAGATTGGCCTTTGAAATCGAAGAAGCCGACGATGCGAATATTACGCACTCGGGAGCGAGTGAGGAAAAGACTTCCGTCCGAGGTACATACAGTCAGTTTCAAACTGCAGCATCGATTAATTTCGAAACGTCGTCGAGAAGCGACACGCGCGTGTGTGTTGTACACCCCTTATAGAAATTTATTACCGGACGAGCGATGCTTATTTTGAGCAAAAAAAACAAAAGCGCTGCTCTCGGCGTTTGCGTTTAATGTTCAAAATAAAGACGCGTTGTTCCGACCGAGTTTCTGCGAGGGGCGCGGGAGAAACATATTTATTCAAAAAATATACGTAGAATATATATATATAAACAAAAAAGTCAATAGATATTATCTCATTTGTCCCGTTCTTGTTTGCTTATTTGTGCGCCTCACAACTTTGTTGCGTCTGCTTTTTGCAAACTTAGTGGCTTCCTCTGTTTCGTCTGGCCTTTCACAACGCTCATACACATATTGTAGGTGCGTGTGTGTGTATGTGTGTGTGTACATTTACACGTGATTGATAACCAAAAGTGTATGTAACAGACTCGTGAAAATAAAATTATGTAAGTAAACGACGCTTTTCGCGCACGCAAAAACACATAGCATCATGGCATATAGTTGCGTCACTTGATTCCAATCTCTCGCATGAGGTTTTAGTCAGACAATAAAAATTATAACGCGCGCGTATACAACGAACGAAATTAGTTTTCGTAATTTGCAAATTTGTCAATTTCAAATCACTTCTGTGCGATTATGTGTTACACGTAGCGCGTAAAATGAATTTAGGCATCACTTAGGTTTGTTAGAAAATCACTCATAAATATCATTAACATTATGTTCACGGTAAAATTTGTTGAGTACCAAATTTTATTCTAAATTAATTCACGTATTCAATAAATTTCACTTTGAAATTTTGCTTCGAGACCTCTCGGTGCCTCCAAGAGCCTCAAAAAAAAAAAAAAAAAAAAAAAAATGTTGAAAGGTCTCTTCAAACCGAACGGTGAAAGGCCGTTTCGTCTGTCGACCGAAACAAATGTGCGACAAGTATTATTGCGCTGGTGTTATAAAATTTGTGATAAAATTGGCGAATGCGAAATTCGCACTAAATTTATTTATTTATTTTTTAATACTCGACAACGGCTATAAATTTCATTCCGCTGCAATGAATTTTCGATCTTTTTTTTTTGTTTTTTGAAAGTGGTAAAAATTTGAAATCGGTGACGGACGACCTTTGTTCTCTCGACATTCTATCATCGAAAAAGACTGTCGAAACGACAAATAAATTTTTTCTTTCTTTTTTTTTTTTTTTTAACTGACCACATTTTGGATTCCAACCGACTCGATCCTGTCTGGACTCTTTCTGACATTTCACTGTTCACTTTTCATAGAAAAAAGTCTCTCATATTTTGCCGATATTATTTTCTTAGTCGCGGCAGCAAATAGTTCTCATATTCTTTTCGGATCTTTATTATGTCTCTTTTTTCATTCTATCTCGAAGGTATTGAATGTAAATGGAACCGCCGGCTTAAGCGAAAATTCAATAGACCTGGACCCAACGCGAAGACCCTGGTACATGAAGGGAGGAACCAGAAGACCTTTTCCGGCAATCAAAGTTCGCAGCACTGGTCGGAGATTGGCTCAGTTGTGGCCAGAGGAGAACGTTTACGATGACCGTGTGACGAATCAGGTAATAATCGTCGAAATTGCATCAGAACTTGCGAAATTAAACATGAATTCGAAATTGACAATCGCACATTCCACTTTGCGAACTAATGTTACTGGACTGTTTTTGTAAAAAAACTTTTTTGTCTTTATTCTTCACAAGAGATAGACGTTTCGATTCTTCGCATAGGGGGGATCTTAACAAACTAAAATAAAAAAAAAAAAAAAACTACAAAGACAAATCAAAACGTCGGACGGTCGTCGCTACAAAATCTCTTTCACAAAGAAATATAAAAAAACTCGCCACATGGTATGATCGAAACCGTCTAAAAAATTACAAAACCCGTCCGTTATTTCGTCTATTTAATATACTAATACCTTCCGCAGCTGATGTTCGTGCCACCTGACTACAATAAAACCGACAGCGAGCACACGTACAAGAAGATAATGATACCTCACGGTATGGCCGAAGCCAAACTCGGTTCCATCATCTTCCAACAGCAACGCTGCCCGGTGAATACCTGCACGATTGTCCGCGACAACCCGGACGAGGCCGATCTCATTCTGTTTAAGGATTACATCACGCACGTGGGACGGAGACCCAACAATCAGGTATCCCCGTCGAATAATGTCAATCTTATGCGGCTCGCGCAATGAGAAATCGAGATTGCCGCTTTCGCTCGGACGCGATTTATCCTAAGGCTGCATTCATATCGCGCGCAGAGGGATACACCGAATTTTTCGAGATAATCAAGATCGTTTGTTACTTTATTTTCTCTTTCAACAGGTGTGGATGCTGTACTTTCTGGAGTGTCCTTATCACACGCAGAGCGTGAAGAACGCTCTTATCAACTGGACCGCCACGTATCGACGCGACAGCGACATAGTTGCGCCCTACGAAAGGTGGCAATATTACGATTCCAGTGTCACGCAGATCCCGCAGACCTTTAATTACGCAGCTAACAAAACGAAGAAGGTAATCAGATTGAAATGAAAAACGAGGACGTCGAAAAAGCTAAAGATAAGATAAAACTATAAAAAAAGAAAAACAATAAAAGAGAAGAGGGGTTGTTTGAGAAGATCTCTTTTTATCGGAAGGTCACTCTTCCGTATCGTATTAGCATGCTAAATTTGACTCTTCTCTATAAATATTTGTATTTCTTTTGGCGTTTGTGCGCCGGTTATTCTCGGTCTATTACCCATATTACCCGAGATAAACATTATTGCACGTGACACCCGGTGTCTCTTCTGTTTAATCAGGTCGCCTGGTTTGTTTCCAACTGCCATCCCCGAAATCAGCGCATGCATTATGCCAGAGAACTCTCGAAATACATTCAGGTGGACATTTACGGTGCGTGCGGCAGTTTGCGCTGTCCGCGTTCGCAGTCGCAGACGTGCTTCGACATGCTCGACGAGGACTACAAATTTTATCTCGCGTTCGAGAATTCCAACTGCAAAGACTACATCACAGAGAAGTTCTTCGTCAACGGACTCGGGTATGTGGTGTTTGTGTGTATGTGTGTGTGCGTGTGCGCGTCATTCTCTCTTTCTTTTTCTCTCTGCCTCTCTCTCTCTCTCACGGCGTCAGTTCGCACAATCCGTGCACAGACAGCCGTGGTATTTCGACGCGAATGTAAGTCGGCCGACCAAGTGCTCGATCATTTCACCCGGAGGTCGGCAACCTTTGCCAACTTGTGCGGCATGTATTACGCGCATCTCGGATCGGTCGTTTGTGTGCCAACTGGCGTTACCTAATCTCCCTCTTCCCGTAAAACACAGACGATATTAATTAAGATCCCGTTCGGGATCGGTTTGAAACCTCCTTTGATCGCCACGTCTCTCGATTCGCACAGGTGTGAAAATTTGTGACACGTGATGTGATACATGATGTGACACACCCTCTTTTATAGGATATATTCTTCAGTTTGTATTTTTTTCTAGTTATATTATCGTGTGCGTATTTTCGTAGTAATTATTATGATACGTGTAAGTTGAGATTTGTGCGATTTTCATCCGTCCTCTTGCAGACACAATGTCCTACCAATTGTGATGGGTGCTCATCCGACGGATTACGCGCGCAGCGCTCCTTATCGGTCCTACATTCACGTCGACGAGTTCGAGTCGCCGAAGGAGCTGGCCGAGTATCTTCACCGACTGGACCGCGACGACGATCTATACAACTCGTACTTCCGCTGGAAGGGCACCGGCGAATTCATCAACACGTATTTTTGGTGCCGCGTGTGCGCCATGCTGCACGACGACCGTCCGCCCAAATATTACAAGGATGTGAACGAGTGGTGGCGAGGGGAGGGCGTGTGCACGATCAGCTCGTGGCGCGAGCACGAATCGCACTCGCAGAATCTACGCAACAACACCTGAGGAGAAATCGCGCCCGTGAATATATACAACAGGCTCTTCCGGCGGCCACGGGGAGTAGTTCCGCGTGCACGCGTGCTCGCGTAAGTGCGTGCGTGCGTGCGTCCGCCCGTTACACACACGTTGCTCAATTTCTACAAACAATTCCGATTCTTCCAAAATAGAACATCGCCCGAGCCGTGGCTGTCGACCGTCTTCATCGCGAAAGCGCGATGAATATTGCACGAGGCGGAGTTGGGTCGGATAAGACGTTTTGGACGGATTGCTAAGTTCTAAGACAAGATTCCGGCGATGCGCGAAATGGCACGTGACCTCGCGCGTCCTCATTTCGCGAGCGCTCCTGAAGATGGTATTAATAAAGATCTTCGTTGGAGAAGAGTATGCCGCGCAATTTACTCTACACTCGGCTGCTTTTAGGGCGCTCACGAGAATGTAGGACTTGATGATACGCGAAGCGTGGTACTTGGCGAGATAAGTAAAATGTAAAACTGGGGATTTTTTTTTATTCGAGATACACACAAAAAAAAGAAGAGAGAATGGATGGAAAGGATCTTCTTTAAGCAAGCAAATAAGTCCAATGAGTAAATTCGAATCAGACGAGCAGGACGTTGTTGTGTACGTTCGGATTTTTTGAATGACAGCGGTTTGCGCGTGCCTAAATCGTTGAATCTTCCAAGGTAACATTTTTACGTACTTCTTTTATCGAACAACAAGCTGAAAATGACAAAATCACTTGGATGTGATTTTAGAGAAATAGCCATGACAGGCGTTGCTTTACGAGATAAAGTTCATTCGGGGACAAAATATTTTTTATGTTTATAAGAATTTCCAAGAATTTGATGATTGGAAGATGTAAAAAAAAAAAAAATAGTAACGATAGGAATACGTGTGTGTGCGTGTGATGCGATTCAGAAAACCCACCGGATGATTTTCCAGTTATATTTGTTACAGAACTAATTTGGAAAGATAGTATTTAAGATGCGAAACATTAGTACTTACAACGTTAATTAATAGCAGAGAGAAAAAAGAGAACAAAATTTTAACAAAACTTTAATTCTCGAAAAACAATAGTAATTTTTATATGCTTTCGACAGGAAAACATAGCGCTTCTACTGTTACCACATAAAAAAAAAAAATTACAATAATGGCTAATTGATTTTATTATCTGTAAATTCTAGCGTAAAAAATTTCCGAACGAAATTCTAAGGTCACATTCGCGAAAAGCGTGCATCAAAATTTTGTAAAAATCATCAAAAAATCGAAAATGAGTTGTACAATGTTAGCGAAGTTATCCTAAAAGTTCGTCGTAAAACTGGAAATCCACACATTCGGTGGATTCGGATTTGCATCACACAAAGAAACGTAACTTGAAACGAGAGATAGAGCGAGCGGCCACACGACAGTTTGACCACCTCCGGTGGCGATTACATTCTCATGCAAACCATTTGTTAATGGTTTTGTAAAGTTTTACAAGTAAGTAATTTACGCTTTTATATTGATGAGAGAGAGAACGAGAACGAGAGAAAGAGGAAGGAGTTGTAATATTACTGCTTTTCGTAGGGAGCAAACATTACTGTTCAGTATTTAATATTATTAATTGTTCCTTCTCTGCGTATGTTCCGCGAAGGGAATTTATTGTTGTACGTTGTAGATTAAACAAAAAAACAAAAAAAAAAAAAACAAGATTCATGTGCATTCAAATACGCATTTAAATTTCAAACACTCTGACGGTAAATTTTACTTTTTTCCGACACAAAAAAAACACGCAATTATATTTTTCATGAATACTCGCAATATGTGTGAAACACATCTGAAACTGACAAACAAACTTTTCAACTCGATAAAGATTCGGAGTCTGTTTATTAAAACGCAGATACCACGTTTCACAATTTGCATTTATCCATATTTTTGCTGCGAGGAAGCAAATAACGTTGTATTTTGTTGTTACCGCGCTGCTTAAATTGCAAACAAGTAGTGTGAGCTGTTTCTTTTCACTTTGGGAAACAACATGCATTTCTGATTTGTTTTTACGAGCATTTTTACAACGTGAAATTTTTCTTTGTCTTGAAAACAAAAAACAAACACAACACTTTATATTCGCGTTTGCACGTAAAGTGAGTTATTTTTTTTTGTTTTGTTTTGTTTTTTGTACACATGATGGACTCGAGTGCACACGAATTTTATTTTAGCGCGTGATTTTGTAGTGAGTCTGTTGTTTGTATCGCGCAAGATTCTTCAATGCGTTCAAACGCAGAATCTAGTCAGAAAGGGCGAAGTGTGTTTTCGAATAATTTATGTGAATAGTATTATTATACGCATCGCGAGTACCTGTTCGAATAATTCCTACCTGTATTTTTTCTGTTCGATTAAATTAATATCTTAAATTGTAATGAAGAAAAAGAGATATTGTTTGTTGTGCGAGACGGCGTTACAGATGACCTAAACGTTTACTCTGTGGCTGGTGTCAATTCGAAAAACAACGACTTCCGCTTTGAACACTGGTCTGGCTCAAACGTAGCTCAAATTTGGACTCGAGCGCGATGTCCGCAGAAAAGACAAAAGAGTATTACCTACCGAGAAAGCTTCACAAACACACAAACATACAAACAAACACAAACATACACAAGAAGCGGAGAGCAAAATGTATTTGATCGCACGAAATGTAAACAGTCGCAACTGAGTCATTTCGAGGAGACAAGATTTCCCTCGAACGGTTCCTATATTAATCACAGTGCGCACAAAAAGCACATACAGCAAACCTAGGAAGGTAATTTAGATATGTAAACTAATTAAGTAAGTAGTCTCTTGAATGAGAGAACCGTGTAAATTGACACCGCGAGAAGACACACACACGCGCGCATATCTAAAATATCTCCGAATGACTGTTTCGTTCTCATCACATCGAAATAATTTATTTACATAGGTGTATACGTTTTGCTGTAAATATAGATAGATATTATTTATTTATCATTCAATTCGTACACACCAATCGATATTTTTAATAAAAAGTTGCTTGAAAAATTCAATCGGCTTAAATATCTCACACTGCTAAACAAATAAATGATATATATATATATATATATATATATATATATATATCTAATATTATAAAATAATATAAGAATTAATTTATTTTGTTTATATTATTTATATATATATGCGGATGTTACGTAATCAGCGTTGGCTCTTGTTTTGACCTTTAGTGTAATTAATTAATTAATTTATCACACATAAACTTAATTTTCGTATACTTTCCTTTGACAAAACGCTGGGGCTGACTTTGTCGTTAAATTTTGCGCACAGTTTTTCGGTAGACAAAAACCGAAACACAGCACAGCCCGAAGGAACATCAATGATGTTGTTATTCGCGCTGTTTAAGTTCATTAACGATTGGTGCTGTTTGTAACGAGTGGTGCTGCTTTTAAACGACGTATATTCGTCCGTCGACGACGAATTCGCGACGAGCGGCCGGCGTGTTGTATATGTACGTAAAATAAAATAATAAATATCGAGACTTAGATAGACGTGTTAGGTTGCGGTGCGAAGAGACGCGAGAGAACATAACGGTCGATGTTGAAGCACATCCTTGATAAAAAAATGTGTGATAAAAATAAGCGTTAAATAAATTTAAAGATACCGTAACGTTATATTAGAGAACCCCCTTCGATGTGGCGTGTATTAGTGTATATGTGCACCATCGTCGTCGTCTTTGAGCGACTTCGCGATCGATATTTTTGCTCGCTCTCCAACCTTCTTTCCCCCATCCCTCCCTCTTTTCACCGAGCTCGGTAATAAATACCGAGAGATGTTATTACTTACCCGCTCTCGGTGAGAGAGAAAGATTGCCCCCGTCAATCTAGATAGCGGATGATAATTTTTGTAAATAAAGTAGCGCACGCGAAACACAACGTCTCTCAACAGTGGCGTGTGGGTGTGCGCTTCAAAATGTTTGTAAATTTGAGACGCGGGGAAAGAAACGTCACACCGCGCACAATATAGAAAATGTGTGAATCGAGGTGGTAGCTAGGCAAAAGGTAGAATTAGGGCGCGCGTTGTGTGTGAAATAATATTTGCTTTCGAATCGGTTATTTCACAGAGCACGTAATAATAAACGACTACTGCTGCTCGACTACTTCGCGTACCACTCAACTATAATGTACTTTACTTCGGAATCAGATAATATTTCGTACAGCTCTGTAGTAGATAATGTATCCGAAAATCTATATCCAAGACAACTTTGTAGATACACAAAACAAAGGTATAAAAAATAAAAAATAAAAAAAAAAAGAACGTGGCTCGTTTGAGCGAAAGCGCGCTCGTTATTTTTTTTATTTTTTTTTTTTGTCCTTTGGTCGAGCAAAGCCCGCGCTCAGCGAGTTAAGATTAATTAATAATAATAATAATAATAATAATAATAATAACGTCGTGTAATGTAAGATCGTGAAGATTAATCAAAAACTCGTGTCGGTGTTCTTGTAAAGCATTACGTCCACGCGCACATCAACTCCCGCGCGGACTCTCCTGATTCTGTAATTTATCACGCGCGAGACGCACGTCGCGCGCATAAAACATATTTGCGTGGACACGAAATGCATCACGATATTACGATATTACGATTGTCGTTAGAAGTTACAGAATAAGGAAGCTGCGCGGTTAAAAACACACACACACGCGCGCGCGCGCGCACGGATAAGATATTATTTTAGATAATTTTAGAAACGTCAAAAAGTTCTGCGAAAAAGAAGGATAATTATTGCGACCTTTATTGTTGAGATTCATCGATTGTTTCGTGAAACTGCGTGAAAATGCGGTTATTTATTTACACGCGTGTGTGTACATAAGCGAATTTGTGCGACTCATTCCGTAGCTTGTGTTTTTCTTTAACAAAAACTGTGTCTCACGGATAATAATCGCCGTGATATTTACTTACGATGTTTTACAAAATTTCGCGACGCAATGTCTGTGTCGCGGGCGCAGCGCAACAACGCCAAGTTGTATCTGTGTGTTTGTATCGATGTCGTTCCGCGCAATCTTTTGACCTAAGAAATAAAATCCGCAAACGCTAACTTCTTAACTCCTTCTCTTTTCTTCTTCGTCTCTTTCCAATTTCCTTTTTTTTTTCCGTCTCTATCTATTTCTGTGACAACGCATGTGTGTGTGACACAAGTTACATCGCTCTCTCCGGAGCTTACTCTTCTTACGGAAGAGTGAGAATAATTCTGAAACGGCGCTCTTTTGACAGATTTGCGAAAGCGCATCCTGATTTGTAACAAGAAAGAAGCACCGACTCTATAAACGTCACACATGCACAAATGCAAATACGCGTCACATAGAGACAAATATACATGTTTACTCATCGTTATCTGGGTCAGTTCGGGTCGCCGAATCTCGGAAACGGCTCGGAAGGAAGATCTCCGCGCCGCGAGTATTTTCATCGCGAGGAAAACTTCTCCGCTCGAATACTTATCGCGCCCGATAACATCCGGTTGCGCCAAGTTGAAAGTTTCGAGTTTCAAAAAAAAAAAAAAAAAAAAAATTGCAGAAGCACATTAACGAACTTGAAATCGGTCGAGGAAATAATAACGACGAGAGATGTGATCCTCGCGCGCTCTCTCGTCGCTTAAATCAACACCAGAACAACCAGAGTAATTTTTTATCCGTCAATTTGGTGCTTGAGTGTGAAAGATTTTGTTCGCGTTAGTTTTAATATTCGGATAATCGATCAAAAAATGTCGCTTTTGATATATTTTGCGTTAAGTTTTTCTCTTTAAATTGCTCGCGGAACATTTTCGCGATTTAACCAAGTAACAAAATCCGAGGAAAGTCGTCGTTTCGACCTGGGTTTTTCGAGTTGTTCCCGGTGTTAAT